ATCTTGAGTAAGATTTGACAGGCAAAGATGAGGGGAAGGAAATTCCAGATGCAGGAAGAGCACAGAATTTGACATAATGCCTGGAGTGTGTGATCAATGGGAGAAGGGCAGAGACAAACGTGAGGGGCAGGTCATGAAGGGCTTTGGTAGAAAGGTGAAGGATTCAGATCTCATTCTACCATCGGTAGGAAACCACCCAACCAAATACTTTTTTCTTATTTTTTCATACAACCAGACTTTGACTAAGAAGTGTTTTATTACAAAATGTGGGCCATGGACCAATGTTACTGTGGGAGGTAATTTTAGGTAATAATTTCTGATGATTTGGCATAGTATGGGGAATGCAGCATTAAATAACCTTGACTCGCGTGGGCTAGGTATTAATCTGCCTTTTTTTTTTTCAGTTTAAAGCTCTTAATTTTATTTTTATGTATACACTTAAAAAATTTATAGACTTTGTTTTTTAGAACAGTTTGTGGTTTACGAGACATTGAGCAGAAAGTACAGAGTTCCCATATATCCCCTCTTGGTTCCTTTTTTATTGTCTTTCAATCACTTCTTATTACTCAAGATGGAAGTCTTCATTTGGTGTTATTCTTTTTTTTATTTTTTAAGTAACCACTACCCCCAGCATGGGGCTCAAACTCATGACAGAGAGTGTCACTTGTTCGGTGGACTGAACCAGCCAGGTGCCCGGTGCTGTTCTATCTTTAAGACCTTTCCAAAAGTTCTTTGTGTTGGACGAGCGGGAGAGGGAGGGAAAGGGGAGGGGGGGAAAGAGAGCATTCAGGCTTTGAATCTTTGACAAGCCACAAAAATCAGTTGTTTTCTTTTTTTTTTTTTTTAGATTTTTTTATTTATTTTGAGAGAGTGAGAATGAGAGAGAGAGAGCACATGAGAGGGGGGAGGGTTGGAGGGAGAAGCAGGCTCCTCGCCGAGCAGGGAGCCCGATGCGGGACTCGATCCCGGGACTCCAGGATCATGACCTGAGCTGAAGGCAGTTGCTTAACCAACTGAGCCACCCAGGCGCCCAAAAATCAGTTGTTTTCAATGTATTTGTTTATGAGGTTTTCTTCCACTTCTGAGAACAATATTCATCTTCCACTTAAGTTTTGATGATAAAAAGTTTTGTCGCAAAATAAGTTTACTCCTATACAAGAAGTAAATAGATAAAGCAGATAATAAAAGTGGCATGTGAATAACCAAAACTTGGAAAATTTAGGGGCAAGGCTGAGCTTGCCTTCTTACCTGGTGACAAGCTCCCACTAAGACTTTTCAGCATTAAGGAATTTTCTGGGGGGAAAGCTCCATCTTTTTTGGGAGAATGAATAAGGATTGTCTGGGAGGACAGTGGCTTTACAGGAATCCAGTATATTGCTCAAACTCTTTCCCTGGCTGCTCTTCTCTGACCTCTCATTCCCATCTGGTCACATGTTCCTTTTCTTAAAAGCCCTGACTATGAGGAACACTCAAATGAATGCTTCCTTTTAAGAGGATACCAACATGAAAATCCCAAATATTTGCCCTTAAAAACTTGAGGGAAAAAAAAAAGGCTCAAGATTTTTAAAACAGTGAGTACCCATGACACATCTACAACTTACTGGTGATTTTCAGGAACATTCTTGGAGAGAGGACTATTTATTAATTTATGGAAAATTCTCTGAAGCCCATTTTCTGGATCAGGGTGCAGGGGACTGCATGATATCAGTAAAAGGACTGAACAAGGCAGTGGATTTTATTTGCTTTGAGAGACTCTTTTATTCATTCATCTTCCTTTTAATTTTCTCTAGCATACCTGGGTTCACATCTGGGCTCACCCAGTTACTAGCCGTGTGATACACGGCTAGTAGATGAAGTTCTTTACTTCATCTCCCTGAAATTCCTGTCTGTAAAATGAGAACAGTATTACTGTGAGAATGAAATGAAAGAGTGTGTGGACTTCTTGAGTCTCACTGTTTGTCAAGAGTTGCGATTTGTGCTTGCCATGTCCTCTTTGGTTCTAATGCCTCACTGATGATTGCAATCCGTCCTTTGATGTACTTTAACAGTGGTGCTCAATGTGAGTGTAGACCAGAACAATCTGGATTCCCCTCATGATCCTCCACCCAGCTTCTAATTCAGGGTGTGAGTTATGTGTACATGTGCGAATATGAATTTTTAACAAACTCCCAGGGGATGCTCCTGATCCCAGAGCCTCACTTTGCAAAACCCAGTACCAGGTCATCCCCAACAAAGATGAAACCCTCAGGCAATGGCTTTCAGTTGTGACTCACCAGAACCTACTTTGAGAAACATATTTCACATTGTGACCCTGGTATAAACACACATATAACTGAACAAGTTTCATGAAATAATAGTTATCATTGTGCATTCTGATATTTCTTATTTTAAGAGAATGCTGACCCATAAATTTCATTTTGTGAGCCATGATTGGATCATGCCTCAGAAAATACTGTTAGTGCTTGATAAGCAAATGCTGCTTTGGTAAAAATGAGCAACTCAGCATTAAACCACAAGGCAAAAATTAGGTGACTTCTCATTCTCTTTTCCTATCAAAATAGAAAGGACATTATAAAATCTTGGACTCTTTCTATTCCTAGGCGAGAGAAATCATCCTGGGAGCTTGACTGCTGACAGTGGGATGGAGAAGACTGGTGTCTGGGGGATTCTCTTGAACTCTGACATGCGTCCTGTTTCACTGTTAAAACGGGTGACAGGCCTGAAGTAACAATGAAGAAAATGAAACATGTCCCTGCTCCAACATGTAGAGAGATGCTATACAGTGTGAAATGCCCGAGGCTGCTGGGATGACGCCATCCACATCTGGGCATAGAACTCATTCTCCACCCTGTCCTCCTCTCTACAGACATTTTCCAGGCTGCTCTTTCTAGAGGCCCGTGACTAGTGGGAGTTGGCTTTGGTGTTTGGGTGATCCTTGACTTTTCATTCGTCGAACTTGCACGTATTACCCATTCATGCAGAGAACTGGACCCTTCCGTTGTCCTCAGCTATGTAATGATTTCTCAGCCATCTTTCCAGCAGCAGCCTGTGCTCTGGGGATGGGTGAAGGCCTTAGTCAAGGTGACAGGCATATGCACTCACTCATACCAGTGTCAGTGCTGGTCTGGTCCCAGGGGCCTCAGCCTGGCCAACAGCTTCCTTGCCATCTCCTCTGTCCTTCCGGCAGCCTGGCCCTCCAGTGCCCGCTAACTCCAAGCTCCAGTCCTCACATCTCTGTCTCAGCCTCACTCAGAGATCACCTGGGCTTGGTAGAAGGGCCTGTCCGGGAATGGGGGAGGAGTGACAGGGTCAGGCCCCCTGGGCTCTTGTTTTGGTACAGGGAGGAGTACCTCTGCTTCTGTCCTGCCTGATGTACTTAGCACATCTGGGCCCAAAGATTTAAAGATCAGGGGCCCCAGAACTTTCCATCCTTGCCCCTGTGGTGAGGGCAGGCTTAATTTGGGTTCCAGGCAGATAAGCAGTTGGACCCTGTGGACACAGTACACAGCCTCCTCACCCCATGAAAGTTCTATCTGTCTCCCACACCCCCAAACCCGGTGGTGGGGTTTGGGCTAGAAAGGAGCAAAGCATCACTAACCATACTTAAGATCTTTATGAAAAAAGGGACAAAAACTTTTTTGGAACCAAAATGCTCTTGTGCTCATCACGTCTCAGTCTCTGTGACTTTGAGACCTACAATTTTCATAACACTTTTCCAGTCACCATTTCACTGGGAGGCTACATTCCAGAATGGGGACCAGGCAATAAAGAAGAATGAGCTACAGCAATGGAAAGATGATTCAGATGAAAACAGAGAAGTGGAGGGCAGAAATACACAGAAAACCCCTGCGTTCCCCACTCTCTCCTCTTCCTGTTTCTGATCGCATATGAAGACAGCTATTTTTGTGTCTTTGGAATTCTACGAACCAAGTGTTATTCTGTATGCCTCTAACAGTGCTTGGCACAGAGTAGGTGCCCAATAAATATTTACTGAATGATTAAAAGCTGCCTCTTTTCTCTTAAGCTAGCATCTGCTACTCTATGTTCCAAAGAATCCTAAGGTTCTATCAAAATCTTAGTCATTAAGAGCTAGGGAGAGCTGGTTCCACTCCATGACTTCAGATCCCCAGTGTTGATCTGATGGCAGCCCCATGTGGGAATGGTTGGTGTGAGAAGAAGCTGTCTTCTCTGGGCCCTAAATGTCTGAGCTGTCTCAGTTCACAACAACAACAACAAAACATTATAGCTAGTAGAAGGACTTTCTAGCTTTTGTGTGTACATGTGGATTTTTGTTTAATTTTATAAAAGAATTTTAGAAGGGCACTGGGGGAGAGAAAAATGACACCATTCTAATTCAAACTGATGCAGCAGAGAAGAATTTTGTACTACAAACGATGGCCCAATTAGCAGTGGCTTCTATGTATTTGGAGGACACTAGGGAAATATGGCACTTGTTTCTTTCTTTCTTTTTTTTTTTTTTTTAAAAGATTTTATTTATTTATTTGACAGAGAGAGAGAGATCACAAGTAGGCAGGCAGGCAGGCAGAGGGAGAGGGAGAAGCAGGCTCCCCGCTGAGCAAGGAGCCCAATGCGGGACTTGATCCCAGGACCCTGGGATCATGACCTGAGCCAAAAGCAGACGCCTAACTGACTGAGCCACCCAGGTGCCCCGGCACTTGTTTGTTTCTTGATCACTGTGAAAAATCCCATCTTTGGCAATCTCTGGAAAGCCCTCTTAATGGCATGGTATTATTTAGCTATGCAGGGGCCTCTGTTGTGGAGGTCATAAAAACATTGCCTAAGAGATGTGCATGGAAAGTGGAAAGGCTAAGTTAGAGAACGGGAGTGATACATTCTCTGATACCACAAGAGCTTTAGGCAATTTTGCAGTGAGACTGCAAAAAGGTGGAATTCAACCTGTAAAGCATTAGGAGGAAGACCAATGAATGGAGCATTAACGATATTCGCTGCAAATAAAAATGCAAACACACCAAGCCACGGCCTTTTAAGATGTTGCAAGTGTATTTTATCTCGGAGATCGGCTTACATTAGTTCTCGAATCTTTGCTTCCAATTTTTGAGCATCAGCTCCACAAAATTCAAAAATCTGTTCACAAATACACAAGGGGAAATATGTATTGGTTTAAATATTTGCAGACATTAAAGCTTTGAGGAGTTTTGTTCCTGTTAAATTATCCTCTACTCATTTCCATTGTCTGAAAGATACTTAAAATATAAATACACATCTAACACATTAAATTCATGATGTTTCAATTATTTGGCACCTTTTGCCAGATTTATATAATTCTCCTTAACAGTCTTCTAAACTGAGATTTAAAACATATAATGTGTTAGAAATGAGAAAACTCAATCATTGAAACCTTTCAGAGCCTTTATACATTACATTGGTCTTAAGGACTTGTTAATTCATACACATGATTTCCTGAAATCAAATGAGACGTGATTTCCCATGCCCTGACGTTTGCACAGGTAACAGTATTATAACCAACTGATTCTAAGAAGCACATATTCTTTTCATATTGTCAAATCTCTGACTCAGGATGTATCTCATAGTGGGTGGTATATTTTATTTGGAACACTTTTCAGTCGTATGTAACATAAGGGTGCCTCTGTCAATGGGCAGCTTATATTTGATGAAATATGGAAGTTTAAGACTCCTACCATGCATTATCACTTTAGTACCAATTGTATGATGTGCTTGTAGAGAAGATAGAATTTGGGTAAACTGAGGATGGGATTAGCTGAAGATTTGAGTTTCCAGTGAGGGAGGTTTCAGCAGCCAGAAATGGTGTTAGGACTTTGGGACAGGGATTGGAAAGTTCTAGAACAACTTCAATGCTCAGTGTATAGCAGAGAAGAAACTATCCCTGCTTCTAATGCTTCTGCTTCCCCAGGCAGCAGCATTCTATCTGGGTGCTGCCTGTGGGCATCATGGTTCATTCTATTTCTTGAAAGTACAGACCAGGCTTCTGACTCCATCTTGATCCCATTTCACTTACCGGCTCGCCCATGAATCCACTTCCATTACAGCAAATTGCTCTTTTGAGTCTTGAGAATAGGGTTACCTAAGTGTGGGTGCAGAATTTCATGATTTATCTGGGTTGCCTGGTTTGTACCCATTTCCTCTATAAATAGTTCTCATGGCATTGGCTGCCGGGGAGGAAGGTGTCAGAAAGGATTTACAAAGTGTTTCATTTCTATGAGTCGGGTGGCAGCTGGATGGTGTCTATAGGCATGACGGGAGTTTCATAATCCTCTGAGCCCATGGCAGGTACGAAGACAAGAACCCCTGGCATGAACATAGGCAGGGCTTGGCCACCTGAATGACCAGATGGGCCAACAGTTTTCCAAGGTGATTTTATCAATTTATATTCCACCAGCAGAGGATGAATGTTCTGGGTGCTCCATATGCTCCATATGCTCGACAAGACTTTGTATTGCCCATTCTTTACCGTGTTAGCCATTCTGGTGGCTTTAGGGGACATTAAATTTGTCACCAAATTTCATGGATTTTACCTCATCAACTTTCCCTTGAACTTAAGCAACAGCGTGTGACTTGTCTGTCTTCAGTCTTATGTCCCTTAGTTCTCTTTCTCCTTGAAGATCAAAAACACAAATCTAGTCTTTGTAAAATTCTTCAGTGTTTCTCCACCACCATAAAATCCAAGGTCCTTACAGGGATTCCTTGATTTTGTCCTGTCTACCTCACTGTCCTCCACCTGAAACTCTGACTTCTAGCAACACATAATTGGATTCACTTATTTATTTAATTGAATAAATACTTAATAAGTGTCTACTATGAGCCAGACATTGTAAACGTGCCAGACAAAAATCCCCTCTGGAGTTCATATTCTAGTGATAATTTTATACTATCGTATTGTTATCAAAAAATTCCTGATACATACCCACGCTGTTTTGTAACTCCCGCTTGTTCCCTTCTTTCTCACCTGTTAGTCTTAACCATCCTTCAAGATTTAACTCATGAAGTCTCTGTAATCTCACAGAACTTGGGCATTCCACTACTCAAGAGTTGATTTTGTTACACCGTCTTCTGCATCTGACCAAAGACGGGGACTCTGTCTCATTTTTTTCCCTCCATACTTTTAGTATCTAGCTAGGAACCTTGTACAGAGCAGATGCTCTGTTAATGATTTTAGGCCTGAAGTGAGCTGAGCTGAGGTGATTTCTGGCCACTGAAGTACAGGTCCAAGACTCTGGGTAGTGTTAGGTTTCAGAGACCAGGTGTTATCTATTTTATTTTTTGTCCAGTTTGCCAAAAGCAAATGGTACGTGTCTCCCTGTCTAGCATGGGGCTTTGTACACAGGAGCTTCATATATGTAGTCAATGAATGAGGAGCAGCTTAGTGATAAGAGCTTATTACATAAGTTGCTTTCTTTTGAAGGGAGATATATATGCAAGGAAACTAGCATATAATTTCTGCTCAAAATGTTTTCTCATTTGAATCTGAATGTTTCGCTCTGTCTCTCAAAGGCATGCACCACTATGAGGGAAGCAATGTTTACTTCTCTCTCCTCAGTGCCTTCAGTTTAAGCAGTGCGGCCACCCCCATAATGACTGCTAATGAAAATGGCGAGCTCCAGTTTGCAGAGCCCAATGGGATACAGGTCAGGGGGCGGCTATCCATGCATTATAGAACCACCTATGTCCAATAGTCACTTAAAAAATCTTTCATTATGAACTTTAAAAAAGGATTTTATTTTTAAGTAATCTCCATGCCCAATGTGGGGCTCTAACTCACAACCCCAAGATCAAGAGTCACACACTCCACTGACTGAGCCAGCCAGGCATCCCTCATTATGAACATTTTCAAACACATACACAGAAAGAGAATAATAAAGTGACTCCCAACCGCCCCCCCCATTTACCTATCACCCAGGTCCAACCAGCAGCATTTTTTTTTTTTATGCCAAAGACATTCAATCACCTGCAAAAAGTATATTACTGTTACTGAGAAAATGCAAAAGGTCTAGAGACGGGGGTCCCTTCCTAACAAATGGACTTCTGAGAGTATCAATTAAGGAGTCTAATGATGCATTCACAGAATAATTAAAATACTTTGGACAGTTGATAGGCAATGTGGTTAAGTGAATACTGAAGTTAGGTTTGGACCAGCTGAATGAAAGCTTGCCAATTTTCCAGACTGCTTTACTGAGTTAAAAACAACAACAAAATCCTCAAAGCAATAATAACAACACAAACAAAAGAGCCCAAACAACCAACCAACACAAGACACTTTTTTGGGAGAAAGCTGTAGCAATGTTTGTACATACAATATAATTTTAGAAGCTGTAATAGTATGATGTTCCTTTTCTTCTTTACAAAGGGTTTGCTAAGGCATTAAATCTTATTAATGAGATGGGAGGAATATGTCCAACAAGAGAACACTGAAAAGTACCCCCACCTGCTGGGAGCTGGACAGTGTTGATTACTTTTTGATCCCATCTTGGATTCCTTCTCTGATTCAACCAGACCCATGCCTTGCCCAGAACCATCTGCATCACACTGCAGGTGTTTGCACACTTCCCCCTGGACTTTCACAACACGTTGCAGGGCAGGCCTTACAAATGCAAGCAGCTCAACTGTGGTTTTCGGACTTTAGCAAAATCAAACCGAGAGGGCAGGGCCTCTTAGAAACAGTGTTTCAAACAGCTTGAATTTATATGCATTTGGATTCAGGAAAAAAGCGTATGAAAGCAATCTATTATCTATTTTTTTTTTTCTAAGCTACACTGGCCTTCTTCCCAATTGGTTCCAATAATGAGATTTCAGTAAAACATTAACTTGCTTTCATTTTCTTATAGCTGTAATTTAGAAACTCTGGCTACATGCTTATTTTAAGCACTAGCGACATAAATATTGACTAAGGTGCTTTTCTCTTTCCATGTTAGGGGTTGACAAACTTTTTTTGCAAGGGCCCAATACCCGTTTTAGGCTTTGTAGGCCATATGCTGTGTGTTGAAACTACTCAGATCTGCTATAGTAGTGTGATAGTAGCCAAAGACAATATTTAAACAGATGGACATGACTGTGTTCCAGTAAAACTTTATTTACAAAAAACTGGTGGAGGGTCAGATTTGGCCCTGGGGCCACAGTTTGCCAAGCTTTAGTCTACTGCCATCCTTAGTCTACTGTCATCAATTGAAGGTGTTGAGCATACACGTGAAGCTGCCTAAGAGCTCATCACTCAGTACAATATGGTTTTTTGTTGAAGGGGGAAAGGAGCATGAGTCTAATGTTGTGGGAATTTATCCTAAGCCACACTGAGAATTAGGAAAAGTGATTCTGGACTCTGGCAGGAAGAGATGTCTTTCTGCCCATTACTAGAAGTATGGGATGAAAATTTGTTCACGGGGATAATAATGGTCCGGAGCCATTCCCTTCAATGACCTATACTCCTGTTCTCATGTTCCCATTGGAAAATCTGCTCAACTGTCCAATACTGGAAATCCCTTCATTGACTTCTCCCCAGGTTGAGGTGAGCATATAAGTGGAGACTAAACAAAGGAATGAGTTTATGATTATCCTCTGCCTTTTTGGGGGTGCTCTGCCCAAGGGACAGGTCTGCTCTCCTCCCACTGTTTTTCTTTTTCTGGAAAGCACATCTGAAGTAGGCCTCAGGTAGGACTGGAAGGCCATCATCTCCCTGTCTCCTCACTTTTGGAGTATGACAGTTGTGAAAAGCAGCAATATCTCCTTCACCTAGGTGGGTAAGTTTCTCCTCTGCAGCCCAAGATTCTCCCTTAGGTGGGTCATCTCAAAGTCTATGCTTCAAGGGAATCACAGGAAGTCTGCTGACATGAGTCCAAGCCATGTTCTGTAAATAGCACAATTTAACGCTACTGCTACTTACAATTTTCCACATGACTCTGTGTGAGAAGAGTTAACACAGCAGGTCTGGTTCCTTATCTCTTGCTTGTCTCCAAGGAAACCATGATTGATCCGTCATCAACCCCCCAGAGAATGGGTCCCCTCCCCCACCAAAGTGTTCTTTGTATTAATGATTGATGATTTTGTTATATATACCTGGAGTGATGGACCAAGCCACACTGGCTTGCTTGGCATAAACATCAATATTAATGATGGGCACCTGGTTTTATTGTTGGGGTCCTAGTCTCCATTGTCATAGTTGGCTGTGTAGCAATCGTTGCCTAGCAAGATATGTCTACGTGACCAGGCCCCCATAAAGGCCTCAGACCCTGAGCTTCAAAAGAGCATCCCTAGGCAGAAACATTCCACAGATGTCCTTGAAGTTCACTACTAGAGAAAGAAACAGAGCGCTCCTATGTGTCTCCAGCCAAGGAAGAACATCAGAAGCTTGTGCTGACCTTTCTGGACTCTACCAATGCTTATCTTTTTCCTGATGCTTTTGCTCTGTATTTTCTGTTGTAATAAACCTTAGCTAGAAGTATAACCTGCTATTGAATCTTTAAGTCCTTCCAGCCAATCGCTAAATGAATGATTTAAAATTTAGAGGCCAGGGCTAGGAGGGGGATGTAAAATTTAAGGGGTTCCCAGAACTCAGTAATCAAGATAAATAATATTTTAATAAATATTTTAAAAGTTAAACATTAATGCAAAAATCCATCATAAACAAAATATCAAAAATTCAAATAAAGACAGGCTTCCACCCTATACTTGCAATCTCCTGCCTCACTTGCCTCACCATAATCCCTGCCCTGTATTTTTAGCAATGGTGGTAAATGGTGCTAAATGGTGCTAAATGTTTGCTACCCATCTCTCTCACTTTCCTTGCATCTCACTTAGTTCTTGCCCCTTCCAGTCAATTAATCTCTGCCAATGTATCAGCTGCTTATGGGGCTGACATGTAACTCCGTTTTGGACCTGAACACTATGGGAGAGTGCTTTTATTTTCCCTCAGGTGGAACCCCTCTGTGTCTAACACCATCCTTAACAGTTTGAATATCCCTGGTAGGTAACTCTTGAATGCTAAGATGACTTATCTTAAATGGGTATTGTAGTTATTCAAAGAGTTTTAGAGGTCTCTCCTAACCACTGTTTCCAAGTTCCTATTTATTCATAGAT